TGATGGAGCCTTAGCTGAAAAGGTGGGCCTGGCACGTGCAGGGGCTCAGAGGTAGGAAGAGTGCTCGGAGCTGAGGTGGGATGGGGGTCTCTGGGTCTCATGAGCTTGACCAGACTTGGGCCCTTTTGAGGGATGCTGCTGGGCCTTGCGCAGCTTCCTCTGGTGCCCTGTGGGGCTGAGCATCCACAGCCCACAGGCAGGGGCAGTGCCAACCCCAGGGGAAGGGACCTGTCCCAGTACTGCTCCCCTCTGTCAAGTTTTCTAGATTAAAAAAAAAAAAACCTTTCATATTTATCATGACTTTGTTATTTTAAGTTGTAAAACATATTCACATGCATTTTAAAAAATTGGTAGTATTTACTCATTGGCCATGCTGGGTCTTCGTTGCCGTTCGGGCCTTCTCTGGTTGTGATGAGCAGCGGTTTCTCCGGGTGCAGAGCACACGGGCTCATTGCTCCATGCCATATCTTCCCAGACCAGCAATTGAACCAGTGTCCCCTGCATTAGCAGGTGACTTCTTAACCACTTGACCACCAGGGAAGTCCTACATGCATCTTTATACAGCTAGTTTCTTTTGCAGTTTCTACCAATTTACTTATGTACTTTTTAAAGGGAAAATGATCTTAGAAACATCTCAGCGAATGCATCTTTCATGTCCAGAAATTTCCGTTTTTGTTTTGTGGTGGTTTTCTTTACCAGATCTTCATCATTTGGGGGTTTAGTTTTCAGTATGTCCTCATGTCCCTTTCTAGCAAACTCGTCTTCCTGTCTGTGTAGTTCTCTGTCTGCATGTGAAGGGTTTACGGCGGCAGGCCCACCCCTCACTGAGGCCTTCAGTTTATCCCCAAGCCACCCAAGAAGAGACAGACTTGCTCAAGGCCCAAGCCGTATGCGTGGAAACAGGATTTGAAACTTGGCCTTTGTGATTTCAGACCTGTTAGTGTCCTGTTCTGGCCCCTCACCATAGGCACGGTGCGGGTGGTCTGGGGCCGTGGCTGCAGCAAGCCGGGTAAGCTTCTCTGGCTTAGAACATGTGCCCGGATGCGAACTCGGAGGCTCCACGAGTCCCAGACTTCCCTCATGGTGCCCCACCCCTGTGAGACTGCATTTGGAGCTGGGGAAATGGCGTGGATTCTGTTCATTGGGCGCAGGCAGTGGTGGGCCAGCTTCACTCTGCCCAGGTTCGGGTTCGCCCCCAGAAAAGCACTGGCAGTGGCCGCCATTGTCTCCCCTGCCGCTGGCTCGTGTGGGCCCCGTATTGGTGACCCTAGGCGCACAGGAGGGGGGCGTCAGACTTCCTGGGACTGGTGGCTCCTGGCAGGGCCCTGGTGCAACCCTGTGAGGTGGGAGGAATCCCTGGTTTACCAGAGGAAACGGAGGCCAGAAGAGCGTCGGACTGCCCGGGGCCACACAGCTCGAACGCACACTGTGGTTCTCCTTTGCTGGGCCGGGCAGCCTTCCGAGAGGGTGGTCAGGGCAGGCTCGCTGAAGGAGTCGGGGAGGTGGCCTGACCTGTGGGGGGTCCTCAGCCCTCAGCCCTCAGGCCTGGCGTGTGAGTCCTTGGCCCGGGTGCGGGTGGTCTCCTGTTAGCCCAGAGCCTCTTGAGGAGGGCTGGTCTTATTTCTTCATGAGAGTTTGTGGGCGGTTAAATGCCAGGGACCGAGCCCCACTCCCTGCCCAGGCAGCTAATCTTGTCACTGTCTACCATGGCCTTGCTTGGAATGGTGAGGCCCACACTGTTCCTGAAGCCTGGGAGCCTCTGTGTGGGCCTCAGACACCTGGTCCTGAGAGGAGCGAGCTCTCCATGGCTTCTGACGGGCCGAGGTGGCTGGGTTGTGCTGGTGAAGCTCCAGGCCCCTCTCAGGGGTGGGCCTTCGTCATAAACAAAAGCCGCCCTCCCTCCTGCCGGACGCCAGCCCAGCCTGGCTTCAGGCCCTGGATGTGGGAGCCTGCCCTTGTCCTCAGAGAGAGTCCCCATCTCCAGCCTGGCCAGGACCTCCTGGCATGGCTGGCCTTTCTTCTCCCCACGTCCCTTGAATGTTGTTCTCCAAGGTTGTGTGAGGGGATGAGTGCTGGGTCCTGGGTCTCTTGCCCCTCCAACCTGCCCTCCCTTCCCCCAGCTCCCAAGTCCTGGGAGGGTCTCCCTGCCCTCCTGTTCCTCTTCAGGTCTTATCCATATTGTCTTGGGTGGGTGGGGGGGCTCTTATCCCCTCCCTGAAACTAGGGCAGAGGCCATGCATGTCCCAGGGAGTCACCCCCCACCCCCACCCCCACCCCCCGGGCTTGATGGCCGTCCCTGGCTCTCAGGAAGAGGACCCTGCTGTATTTATTCTGGGAGGCAGAGGGCAGGGGTGAGGCGGAGGGGGTGGGGGGTGAGGCCGGAGGTCACACAGGATGCAGCTTTTAAGAACCTGGTAGAGCCTCTCCCCCAGTGTCTCGTCCTTCCAGCCTGTGGTTGGCTCGATGGACTTGAAAGGCGTTGGGCCCAGGCCGACAGCTCCAGAGCGGGGAAGTGCCCGGGGCCGGCGTGGGCAGCAGGAGCCTGGGAGAGTCGGGCACCTGGCCTGGGGCCACTCTGTGCCTGCCTGGTCCCGTCTTGGGCGGAGCCTCCTCTGCTGTCTGTCCATCGCAGTGGATGTATCCCTGGGCACAGGGCTGCCGCAGGGTCACCCAGGACCCACTGGCAGCATGTCGTGTGCCCGTGTGGGGGCACTATGGTGGCGGCCCGGCTGCAGGCTTCAGACTGACCCTGTGGTTGCTCACTGGGCAGGAGCTGCGTAGTGGACTAACTGCCTCTGGTGACTGGTGGGCAGCTGCACAGAAAGGCCCAGACTGGGGGCCACGAGGCCTTGTTGGCCTGTGTGAGTTGTGTGTGTGAGGTGTGAGAGGGCATGGCAGCAGCCCTGCGCCAGAAAGGCACGCTGGTTTCTGTTTCAAAGGGCAGGGTTTGTGGTCATTCTGTAGTTTCTGATCTGGGCATTTCCTGTGTTCAGCTCTTCCTCCCATCCTGGGGACCCTGTCTCCTCAGGCCTGTGGCTCAGTCTCCCTCCATGCCCCCCCGTTATCACCTGAGCGTAACTCTTCATTTGAAGAACTCCACTCCCGTTTTTTGCTGTCCCTCCCCCCGTCAGGGTGCCTGCGTTTCCACTTGTTTGTTCAGTCATTCAGCAAGCTCTGGGTGGCCTTGCCGGCCCCAGGAAAGATGAAGAACACACAGAAGCGCCGTTAGCAGTTACTGCGGGGGGTGTTTCCAGATTGGATCTCTGGTGGCAGAGAATGGGGTCTGGGAGGCAGACCGTCCCTGGCTGGGACCAAGGTAAAGTGATGGACAGGAAGCATGACTGTTCTCGGCCCCAGCCCAGCTGGGTTGGGATGGAGCAGAGAAGATGGGGGAGCGGTAGGGCACTGAACCCCATCACAAAGGCCCTGAAGGCCGAAGAAGGAGTGGGCTCTCCCTCGTGAGCCACCTTGGGAGGACCAGAACAATGTCCTACACAGACTCGGGGGCTCGGGAAGGATGGCTGGGTGGTGAGAACTGGAGGGCAGGCAGGAAAGTAGGGGCTTCCGGCTGGAGGACCAGGCCTGGGGTTGCCGAGGGCATGGAGTAGGGCCAAGGTAGGACCAGCAGTGCCTTGGCAGGGGGCTGGGCATGGGGCCAGAGTGATGCCGCTGTCTGAGGTGAGGGGACAGATGGGGCACGGCTGTGGCTAGAGGGACTGGGCCTCTCAGAACTTTCCAGCCAGGGTGGTGTGTGCTTGGGCCAGGAGGGCTCGTGGGGGAGGTGGGCCCAGCAGTGTGCTGGCACTGCTCCTGGCTCCAGGTCTTCCGGGCCAGTCTGGGTCGAGAGCCTCTGAAGAGGCTCCGGAGCCAAGGGAGCGCTCAGTCATTTCTGGCGGCTACGCCAGGCTCCCCTCTTTTGACCTCCCTGAATCTGTGTCTTCATCTGGCCTGGAAAGGCTGTCCTCTGTGTACCGTCCCAGCCTGGGGGCTGTGCAGCTGTGCCCTCCCCAGGCCTGGGGTCACATTCTGTGCGCCTGCTCCAACCGCAGACCCCCAAGACCCGTCAGGGAGCTGGAGGGAGGCTTGAGTGAGTGCCCACCATGTGCCACCTCCAGGGCGGGGCGCTCCGGGCTGTTGGACCAGAGCTCAGCAACCCCTCGCGGTGCCGCCTACCGTCACCTGCCTTCACGGGGACACAGTGGGGTCAGAGTGGTTGTTCCTCTGCCGAGGTCACACAGCTAAGGTGAGCTGGAGCTGGGAGTCTAGTCCTAGCAGGCCCACCCCTGAGTCCACACAGGTCTCTTCTGGAGGAATTCAGTCACAAGCTCTTTGCTCTAGAGGTGGTAAAACCCAGATGGAGAGAAGTTAAATGAGTCACTTGGCGTGGTCTGAGTTAGTGGCTGAGGCAGTTTGTCTGCTGCTCCGACCCGGTGCTTCCCCGGTCTAAGCTGCGCGGCCAGGGTGGGAGCCGTCCGTGGGCAGCCCTGCTCTTGCTGGCACTTGCTCGGGGATTTTTTAGGGGATGGGTCATTGGGACTGCACCAGGTCTGTTGGCCCAGTACCTGCTCCCCGCCTTGGCCTCTGAGACCCATTTGGGCCTGCCCCTCCCCAGCCTGAACCTTGGGACCTCACCATTCAGCTGATGCACTTTTGTGTCAGGAAATGGTCCTCAGGCTTTCGGTCATGGGTCCCTATTTTTCTTTCTCGAGTCCAGCTTTCTCCAGGTCAGAGTGACCCTGTGTTGTCAGGGAGGGAGCGTGCAGAGCACAGAGCTCCTTGTTCCCCCAGACCCCCAGCTTTTAGCAGAGCTCTGCCCGGGGACTTAGCGCAGCTCTCTTCCCCCGCCCCAGTGGGTCTGAGTGGTCTTGACTCTGTCCCCGAGGGGCCGTCTCTTTCGGTGGTCCTCTCTGAAGAGGGTGTGGGAATGGGCGGGGAGCCCAGGCAGCCCTGCTCACCTTGGGAGGCCTGAGCCTGACCTTGGCCTCTTCCTGCCCTCCCAGTTGACATTCGAGAAATCAAGGAGATCCGCCCAGGGAAGACCTCACGGGACTTCGATCGCTACCAAGAGGATCCTGCTTTTCGACCGGACCAGTCCCACTGCTTCGTCATCCTGTACGGAATGGAATTTCGCCTGAAGACCCTGAGCCTCCAAGGTGGAGCTGAGGGGCTGGAGGAGGTGGGAGGTTGGAAGGCGCAGCCCAGCCCCAGGCTCAGCTCTTTATCCCCTGCTCACAGCCACATCTGAGGACGAAGTGAACATGTGGATCAAGGGCCTGACTTGGTTGATGGAGGACACGTCGCAGGCAGCCACACCCCTGCAGATTGAGAGGTGAGAACCCCCTCCTGATGGGTGAGGTTGGGGCGCCGGGCCCTCGGAGCAGGGCAGGGGCTCCCTGGCCTCTGCGCCCAAGCCTGCCTGCCGGTCTCCTCCCGAGGCCTGGTCTCACTTCAGGCTCCTCTCCCACCAGGTGGCTGCGGAAGCAGTTCTACTCAGTGGACCGGAACCGTGAGGACCGGTGGGTGCTGAGCTGGGGTCCTATCCCGGCAGGGCGGGTTGGGGCGACCAGAACAGTGGCCCTGCTTCGAGAACCGGAGGACCTGCCTCACTCACGGCCGGGGTGGGCATGCCGTCTGGCACAGGCACTTCCTGCAGTCAGCTGTCCGAGGGCCTGTGCCAGCTGGTGGAGAGGCCAGCGACGATAAGGCAGATGCACCGCTGCTGTGGGCCGAGGCGGGAGTGCAGAACCAGCTCTAGTGTGTTTGGGGGGTGCCTTGGAGCTCACACAGGACCTTCCCTGGTGGCTCAGACGGTAAAGCATCTGCCTACAATGCGGGAGACCTGGGTTCAATCCCTGGGTAGGGAAGATCTCCTGGAGAAGGAAATGGCAACCCATGCCAGTATCTTATTGCCTGGAAAGTCACATGGATGGAGGAGTCTGGTAGGCTACAGTCCATGGGGTCACAGAGTCGGACACAATTGAGTGACTTCACTTGCCTTTTCCTTTTGGAGCTCATGTCTTTGAGGCCACGGTGTGACAGCCAGAGGGGCTACAGAGGTGTGGGACAAAGGCCAGGCGGTGGATGAGGAGGACCGCTGGCGGGGGGAGAGGCAGGCACCATGGAAGGTTTTGAAGAGAAGTGTCATGTGACCTGAGGTCAATTGCACAGGGCGGTCGGCGGGTGGAGAGCTCGCTTATGGGGAAGTGGCTCCGACGCTCCCAGTGAAGACAACGGCTAGGTCAGGGTGGGGTGTTAGGAAGGGGTTGGATTTCGGCGGGGCTATATTTTTGAAGATAGAGCTCAATGGAATTTGCTAACACATCAGTTCTGGAGCGTGGAGGAGAGTTGAGGTTTATATTAAGCTTTTTGGTCTGAGCGTCTAGAAAGGTGGGTTGCCCTTGACTGAGATAGGGAAGACTATGAGAGGGACACATTTGAGGGGGTGAGTCCCGCGATGCCCGTAGATGGTTGGGTAGAGGCGTTGAGCAGGCAGGTGGGTAGAATGAGCTCAGGGACAATGCTGGCCGGAGATGGGACCCGGGGAGCACAGCACGTAGCGGGTTGGGGAGGCTAGAGGCGCCTGCAGGCAAACACAGCAAGGATAGACGAGAGGGCTGGTGGCCGATCCCAGCCTGGGCTGCTTGCCCACTGGGGCCTGGGGCGGTGAGGAGCTGAGGAAAGAGGAAAACCGGAGGAGACAGAGCCCTGGAGGCCCAGAGAGGAGGGGCTGGTCAGCTGTGCCGTGCTCGTCACGCGGGGACGACCTCGAGGCTGATGGAGGAGTGGACACGAGGTCCCGGGAGTGGGACCTGGGAGTCTGGGTGGCTCCTTCAGAGCACTTCCGTGAGGAGGAGCAGAGAAGGGGCAGCTGCTGAGAGGAAGCAGGGCAGACGGGTGTTTTGGGGGGAGTGGTTTCAACCTGCATGAGATGCTGGTGGCGAGGAGCCCACAGAAGGAAGGCTGGGTGAGGCAGGTTTCCTAACCCACCCCAGGAGGGCCCTGCCTGCCCCCTCCTAGGTGACCGAGGCCAGGCAAGCGCTGGATGGGAGAGAGCAGGACTGCCAGGGCCAGAGGAGACGTGCCCGCCTTCCCCTCTGTGTTGCCCCCTCCCAGGAGAGGCCTCCCCGTCCTCATCTTTTTCTTCCTGTTGCCTGGCCGAGCATGGTCCTCTGCCCCATCCTCAGGTTGCCTCGGAAGGCAGGGCACTTCTGTGAGGTCCTGGGACCGTGCCTCGTCGCCAGCACTGGTGCTTGGCTGAAACGGGTCTTTCCTCTCCTCCCTGAGGAGGCGCCAACTCCCCGGGCAGTGGGCGGGGAGTCCTGTGAGCTGCCTGCCCGTGAGGGCACCGGGGTTTGAGAGTGAGGCTGAAGGGGCCCCGAGGAGCCACAATAGGGGCTGCCACCCTCTGTGCCTGGAGGCCGTAGAGAGGAAGGGCCTTCCCTTGGTCACCCCGGCTCTGAGCCAGGCTCACCGTCAGGGCTGCAGGGCCCAGAGTGGTGCTGTTTACCTGCCCAGCCCCAGGTGGACTCGGCCTACAGGTCAGAGGTCATGAGAGGTAGGGCTGAGGCCGCTGGCGATGTCCCTGTCTCCTCAGGATATCAGCCAAGGACCTGAAGAACATGCTGTCCCAGGTCAACTACCGGGTCCCCAACATGCGCTTCCTCCGGGAGCGGCTGACGGTGAGGGCCTGCGGGCTGGCTGCAGGTGGGCAGGGAGCGCGGCTGCCCCCCGCCCTGGTGGGCCCTGACGGCGGTCCCGCTCTGTCTCTAGGACCTGGAGCAGCGCACCAGCGACATCACCTACGGGCAGTTCGCGCAGCTGTACCGTAGCCTCATGTACAGCGCCCAGAAGACGGTGCATGAGCCCCCCGTCCCGCGCCCCTGCCCCCGCCCCGCTCACCTTGGCCCTGCTGCCCTGCTTGGGGGTGGCGGGGTGCCGTGCGTCCGGTCTTCTCCCTGTGAGGCCTGCCCCTTTGTGTTGCCCCAGCCTTTCTTCCCAAGAGCCCCTTGCCCACGGGGCCTCCCCGGGTTCTTGCGGTGACCCCGTTCTGTTTCCTGTAGATGGACCTTCCCTTCCTGGAAGCCAGCACCCTGAGGTTTGGTCTGAAGTGGGGAGGTGGGCTTCTCCCCAGGCCCCCCCGTCCCTCCCCTGGTTGATTCCCCGGGCAGGAGGGAGACCGAGGAGGGTGGGGGTGGGGGCCCCCCCTGGACTGTCCTGGGCAGCTATGCTGGCCCGGAGCTGGGCGCCGCCTTCCGAGGGGCCCCCATTGTCCGTGGTCCACGCTAGCCAGCTGGCCGCCAAGCACTTCCCTTCTGTCCTGCAGGGCGGGGGAGCGGCCGGAGCTGTGCCGGGTGTCCCTTCCTGAGTTCCAGCAGTTCCTCCTCGAGTACCAGGGGGTAGGACTGGGCTGGGCTTGGGCCGGGGTGCTGGCTGGGGGTCTGGGCTCACCAGCGGCTGGAGGCCTCTCACATGCCCCATCTCCCACCCCCTCAGGAGCTGTGGGCGGTGGACCGGCTCCAGGTACAGGAGTTCATGCTCAGCTTCCTCCGAGACCCCTTGCGAGAGATTGAGGAGCCTTACTTCTTCCTGGACGAGGTCCGCTGTGTCCCCCGCCTGGACTGACCCCCTTCCTGTACCACCTGGTGCTGTGGTGCAAGGCAGGGGCTCATCTCTCCACATTTGTTCCCGGGCAGTTCGTCACCTTCCTGTTCTCCAAGGAGAACAGCATATGGAACTCGCAGCTAGACGCGGTGTGCCCTGACACCATGAACAACCCCCTGTCCCACTACTGGATATCCTCCTCGCACAACACGTGAGTGGCGCCCTTGGCCCCTGGCCTGATGCTGGGAGGTGGGGCTTGCCTGACACCCATCTCCCCTTCCAGGTACCTGACCGGGGACCAGTTCTCCAGCGAGTCTTCCCTGGAAGCCTACGCTCGCTGCCTGCGGATGGGCTGCCGCTGCATCGAGTGTGCGTGGGACCCTGGGGCAGGGGTCCAGGGCGGGGTGGGTGGGGAGATGGGGGGGTTGAGCCTGCCCACTTGACTGTTGTCGCCTTGCTCCCTAGTGGACTGCTGGGACGGCCCGGACGGGATGCCGGTCATTTACCATGGACACACTCTGACCACCAAGATCAAGTTCTCGGACGTCCTGCACACCATCAAGGAGCACGCCTTTGTGGCCTCAGAGTGCGTGGCCAGGGCTCAGCCCCACCTCTCCTAGGTCCCTGTGAGAGTCCCCAGCCCCTGGCCCTGCCTTCTACCTCCTGCCGGCTGCTGGAGTCCTTGCTGCCCGAGCTGCTCACTTCTTGCACCCTTGGCCCACCCGCCTGCTCCGTGGGCCCTCCTCAGCCTGTGGAACACACTCAAGCTCTTCATCTTCAGAGATCAGTTCTGTAGGCCTGGGCCTGCGAGGTTGTTGCCCTGCCAGCCCCTTTCCTATCACAACCCGGAGAATCGTCTGTGCTCCACTCTGCAGTTCCTATTGTTTCCCCAAACCGTGGTCACTAGCCTCTCCCACCCCATTGAGAGGATCACCAGGGGCCCCCAGTAGCTAAATTTGGAGGCTGTTCATCACCACTCCTGACCTGGGTGTAGGATGTCACTCCTCGATGCTGGGGCAGCTCCATGAAGGGACCAACTCTGGGAATGTGTGTCTGAGGCAGTCCCAGTTGGCCTGGGTTTCTGCTGCACCCGTAAGTTCCATCTCTCCTCTGGGGTAGCTCCCCTCTAGAGAGGACCTTGGGCCCTAGGCCCCTGACACCTCACTCTGCGAGGGTCTGAGCTGTGACTCCTGGGAATCACGGAGTCTCCTGTGTTACACACTGTTCCCCTGCCCTGCAGGTACCCGGTCATCCTGTCCATTGAGGACCACTGCAGCATTGCTCAGCAGAGGAACATGGCCCAGTATTTCAAGAAGGTGCTTGGGGACACACTCCTCACCAAGCCCGTGGACATCGCAGCCGATGGGCTCCCTTCCCCCAACCAGCTCAAGAGGAAGATCCTTATCAAGGTGGGATCTGGGGGGGCGGGGCACGCCTCCCCTTCAGTGGCGGGTCCAGGCTTGGGGGAGGAGGTGGGGGCCTGGGATGCCAGTTCTGGCCTGTCGCTCGCAGCATAAGAAGCTGGCTGAGGGCAGTGCCTACGAGGAGGTGCCTACGTCGGTGATGTACTCTGAGAACGACATCAGCAACTCCATCAAGAACGGCATCCTCTACCTGGAGGACCCCGTGAACCACGTGAGCACTGGGCCAGGCTGGGCCGGGGGGGCGGCCTGCAGAGGGCCCTGTCACAGGCCCCCGCCTGTCTTTTCCAGGAGTGGTACCCCCACTACTTCGTCCTAACCAGCAGCAAGATCTACTACTCGGAGGAGACCAGCAGCGACCCGGGCAACGAGGACGAGGAGGAGCCCAAGGAGGTGGGGGCCGGCCCACGGCCGGGGGCCGGGCTGGGGGCCGCGGCCAGGTCGCCAAGCGTCTCTGCTGTCGCCCTCTGCCCTGCAGGCCAGCGGCAGCACAGAGCTGCACTCCAACGAGAAGTGGTTCCATGGGAAGCTCGGGGCCGGCCGGGACGGGCGGCACATTGCCGAGCGCCTGCTCACCGAGTACTGCATCGAGACCGGGGCCCCCGACGGCTCCTTCCTCGTGCGCGAGAGCGAGACCTTCGTGGGCGACTACACGCTCTCCTTCTGGTAACCCTCCCGGCACCACCAGGGGCTGCGTGGGTCCCGGGCACACACAGGCACATGTGCACACACGCAGACACGGGCCAGTGTGGAGCCCCTGCAGGGCCGCCCCCGCCCGAGCCTGCCTTTGAGCACCTCCTCCCGGAGACCTGGCGCCCTCCAGTGGGTGGCGTGTGGGGTGCCGTCCCGCCTGCTGCTCAGGGCCTCCTTGTCCCCTCAGGCGGAACGGCAAAGTCCAGCACTGCCGGATCCACTCCCGGCAGGACGCGGGCACCCCCAAGTTCTTCCTGACGGACAACCTGGTCTTCGACTCCCTCTATGACCTCATCACGCACTACCAGCAGGTCCCCCTGCGCTGCAACGAATTTGAGATGCGCCTCTCGGAGCCGGTGCCGCAGACCAACGCGCACGAGAGCAAAGAGTGAGGGGCGGGCCGGGGCGCGGGCCTGGGGCGGGATGGAGGCGTGGACCTGGGCCGGCGGCATGGACCTGAGGCAGGATGGGGGTGCGACGGGGTTGCGGCTGGGGTGTGGGCCTGGGCCGGGGGCATGGATGTGGGGTGGGATGGGGTATGGACCTGGGGCGTGGGGCAGGGGCTTGGACCTGGGGCGGGATGGAGGCATGGACCTGGGGCTGAGAGACAGGCCCAGGGGCAGTGCGGGGCAGGGCTGACTCAGATTGTCCATCCACAGGTGGTACCACGCCAGCCTGACCAGGGCGCAGGCCGAGCACATGCTGATGCGTGTGCCCCGGGACGGGGCCTTCCTGGTGCGGAAACGGAACGAGCCCAACTCCTACGCCATCTCCTTCCGGTGAGGGGGTTGCCCTGGGGGGCTGGAGGCGGTGCCGGGCATCCCTGGTGCGGGCCCACTGACCCGGTGTGGCTCCTCTGTCTCTGTTAAGGGCTGAGGGCAAGATCAAGCACTGCCGCGTCCAGCAGGAGGGCCAGACCGTGGTGCTGGGCAACTCGGAGTTTGATAGCCTTGTCGACCTCGTCAGCTACTATGAGAAGCACCCTCTCTACCGCAAGATGAAGCTGCGCTACCCCATCAACGAGGAAGCTTTGGAGAAGATCGGCACGGCTGTGAGCACCTAGGGGGTGGGAGGCAGGGTGCCAGAGACCTGCGGGCCCTCCCGGAACTGCCAGGCTGACTGCAGGGCAGGCCAGCACCCAGCAGTCTCGGGGTGGATGCAAGGGCCAGAGCGGCCCGCCTGCTGTTGGGGGGCCTGCCAGCCCATCAGGGAGCCAGGGAGGCATCCCCGAGGGAGGGCCTCTGTGTGTGTCTGTGAGGTGGGGACAGTTGGGTGGGCGAGGAGTTGGGGAACGGGTTTCAGCAGAACCATCCCTGTGGGCTGGAGGGTGGGGTGCGGTAGGGAGGTCCCAGAGTTCATGCAGGTAGGGGGTCCACCCAGGGTTGAGGGCAAGGCAGGGGCTCAGAAGCTACAGAGATGTGTTTGAGGAGGGCAGAGCCGCTGGGGAAGCCAGCGTGAAGGCAGGCTGTGGTATGGGAGCCAGGTGGGCCCTGGGTAAGGATCACAGCCGCAGTGAGAACAGCGGGGCCCCGGCAGAATGGCCACTCGAGACTCTCGTCCTTAGTGGGCCCAGGTGGCCAGGGCGAGGGTCTCCCGCTGGGGCTGGGGTCTGAGAGGAGGTGGGGTGGCGGCGGCTTCAGGAGCAGCATGATCTCAGAGTCATGGACTGGGTGGTCAAGGTAAGAGTGAGGAGAGAGGAGGGGCGGTCTAGACCCCTGAGGTTGGGGACCCTGGTGGACCAGGTGTGTGAAAGGGGTGGATGGGCAGCCTGGTGAGGAAGGGGCGTGGAAGCCAGCAGCCGCTTTCACCTCTGGTCGTTAACGTGGCCCGTTCTGTCCCATTTCCAGGAGCCTGACTACGGCGCACTGTACGAGGGCCGCAACCCCGGCTTCTATGTGGAGGCGAACCCCATGCCCACGTTCAAGGTACAGCCTTGGGCTCTGGGCGCAGGAAGCCGGGGAGGGTCCCCGGCTGTGGGGTGCAGGGTGGCTTGCGGTCTTTGTGCAGAAGTGGTGTTTGTGGTTTCCCGAGGCCCAAGAGGTGTTGTGAAGTCTGGTTGGTGTATGACCACAGTTCTCCCAGGGCTGACCCCAGCCACTGTCCCGGGGTCAGCACTGACCCTTCCAGGCACCTCGCCTCCTGACCCCCGTTTCCTCCCTGCTGGCAGCAGGTGGGGTGGGGCACACTGGCTCCTGCTGAGCGTCGTCAGACAGGAGGCTCTGCCTCTGTGGGGCCTTGTTTCTAAGGGGTGAGGATCTGGGCCCCTTTCCTCATTTTTTCTCAGCAGTAGGGAGCTTGGGACAAGATTCCTTCTCCTACTTTGGAGATGCGGAATGCTGGGGTCCCAGCCACACCCCGAGCCATCCCGGTCTTAGAGGAGGTGCTCAGCACCTCCCATACCAGCTTCCCGGTCTGACTCCTGGGGCCCAGGGTGGGGGCTTGCGAGGTGCCCCCAGTCCCAAAGGAGCTTCCCTCCAGAAGCCCTGGCTCCCCCGTCCCCTTTGCCCTGGCGCCTCCTGCAGGCCCCGGGGAGGGCAGTCACGAAGGCTGGTGCACATGCAGCCGTGGGTGGGAGAGGAGGAGCAGGCAGCCTGTCTGCTGGACTAGGGCTTCTCTCCTGCAGTGCGCCGTCAAAGCTCTCTTCGACTACAAGGCGCAGCGGGAGGACGAGCTGACTTTCACCAAGAGTGCCATCATCCAGAATGTGGAGAAGCAGGAGGGAGGCTGGTGAGCCCCCGAGAGCCCCTGGTGCGGGCCAGGCATCCTGAGTGCCGGCCACGTACATGCGAGAGGGGCTTGGGAGAAATGGGTCTCTGTGGGCCCCAATGCACCCCCAGGGCTGCTCCGTCTCGAGTTTGGGGTGATCCTTGGGGGTCAGCACCCTGCGGCTTCCACAGGTGGCGGGGTGATTATGGTGGGAAGAAGCAGCTGTGGTTCCCTTCAAACTACGTGGAGGAGATGGTCAGCCCGGCGGCCCTGGAGCCCGAGAGGGAGGTGAGACCAGGGCCACGTTGGTGGGAGGGATCCCCAGGTCCACCCCCCACATGGTGTCCACGTGCACGGCACTCCTGTGTGAGGGCCCATCACCACGTGCAGGCCGCAGTCTGATGAACATGGGCCACACGCGTGTGGTTTCGTGTTCGTCTGTCGGGTGTATTTCTCATGTGCACCCAGACACCCCCTCGTGTGCACACAGCAGACTTGCTGACCCTGTGGACTTTGCCTCCCACAGCACTTGGACGAGAACAGCCCACTCGGGGACTTGCTGCGGGGGGTCCTGGATGTGCCAGCTTGTCAGATAGGTGAGCCCGCAGCCCTTCTTCTGGCTCTCAGGGACGGGCTGTCCCTGGTGGCCCTCTGCATGCTCGGAGCAAGGAAGCTGAGGGTTGGACCCCCACAGGCTGCCCTTGTTCTGAGCTCTCCCCGCTCCTGGACGCCTCGGTACCCTTCTGGCCGCCCCCCCCCCCCCCCACCCCGGCTCTGAGGCCTGTGTGCTTGCCCTGTGCAGACACCGGGGACAGTGGCATTGGCGAGCTAAGTCCACAGTCCTGGCGAGCTGGTCCTTGGCTGAGACAGGCTTAGAGCTGGGGTCAGGGGCTTGTCTCCAGGCTGCCCGTCCTCCTGAAGAGGAAGGGAGTGAGCTCTGCCCGTGCCTGGGGTGGGGCGGGGGCTAAGCCCCGTGTCCCCAGCTCTCCTCTCCTTCCTCCCTCCAGCCGTCCGTCCCGAGGGCAAGAACAACCGGCTGTTCGTCTTCTCCATCAGCATGGCCTCGGTGGCACACTGGTCCCTGGATGTGGCTGCCGACTCGCAGGAGGAGCTGCAGGACTGGGTGAAGAAGATCCGGGAGGTGGCGCAGACGGCGGACGCCAGGGTGAGAGCCTGCGCTGGTCCTCTAGCCGCGGGGCAGCCCCCACTGCCTGGCAGGGGCCGGAGGGACATGTGTGCTCTGTGGCGTGGCACGGTGTGGGTGTGTTGAGTTTGAGATACACCAAGGACGTTTCTGAACGGCTCTGCATAGTGACCAGTTGGTATCAAGGGCCGAGGTGAGAGGCTCAGTCCTGGGCTGGAAGCAGGAGTAGGTGCCCAGGGTTTAGGGCGAGATGGTACAGGTTGGGAGCAGGGTGTGACCTCCAAGGACATGGGTATTGAGAAAGAGAGGCCGGGACGAGCAGGACAGCGAGGCGGGTGTCTGACACGCGAAGGGCCGCCAAGCCGACGGCAGGGCCAGAAGCTCAAAGTGCCGGTCGGAGTCGGCTGTGGCCGCGGGAGGTCGCAGCTGGGTGGAAGGCAAGGGGGCCGCCTGTGCAGGGCAGGACGGTGGAAGGACCAGCTTCTGGAGGAGAGAGGAGGGCGTGCTGGCTGGGGTGCAGGAATCCTGCCAGATGCCACTCGTGCAGGGTCAGGTGGAGGGGCTGCGGGATGCACCGTGGCTGCTCTGGAGAAAGGACGCCCACAGGCCAAGTCGAGAGGGCTGGGTGCGGAGGACTTGGAGCTGAGCAGGGCCTGGAAGGACCAGGCCCGAAGGATCCAGTGGTTGAAGGAATGGATCCTGAGGTTTAGGCTGTGGAGGGAAGGAAGAGCTGAAGAACAGGAGTTGCTTCTGGAAGGAAGCCGGCCTGCAAGGGTCCGGGGGCCGCACGGGGTGCTAGTGAGGGATGTGCTGGGGCTGAAGTCTGGCGGTGGCGGGTGGGTGGTTGTGTTGAGAAAGGAGAACTGCAGGGTGAGGGGTGAGGCTTCTGGGCCAGGGCTGGAGGGATGGTCCCGGGGACCCAGAGGACTGCACCCATGTTCCAGTGCAGTTAGCGCCCGAGGCGGGCCCAGTTCCGAGTGAGGACCGCGCGTCACTGGGGCACAGGTGGGGTGAGGATCCCAGCCTCTGAAGCCGGGAGGGTGTGTGTCCTCAGGACGGGGTGGGGCTGAGGATAGCTGGGTCTGGAAGGTGCGGGTGGGTGTGCCCAAGGTGGCCGGGGGCTCCCACCCGGCTCAGGCCTGTGTGCCCCCAGCTCACCGAGGGGAAGATGATGGAGCGGAGGAAGAAGATTGCCCTGGAGCTCTCGGAGCTCGTCGTCTACTGCCGGCCTGTCCCCTTCGACGAAGAGAGTAAGGGTCCGGCCGGGGTGGGGGTGGGGGGGTGGGGGTGCTGGCCCGGCGGCACCTGGGCGGGCGGACTCTGAGCGCACTCCCTGTTGGGCCCAGAGATCGGCACCGAACGCGCCTGCTACCGCGACATGTCGTCCTTCCCGGAGACCAAGGCCGAGAAGTACGTGAACAAGGCCAAAGGCAAGAAGTTCCTCCAATACAACCGCCTGCAGCTCTCCCGCATCTACCCCAAGGGCCAGCGGCTGGACTCCTCCAACTACGACCCCCTGCCCATGTGGATCTGCGGCAGCCAGCTCGTGGCCCTCAACTTCCAGACCCCAGGTGAGGCGGCGGCCGGGGGCGGGGGCCCAGCGGGCACCGGGGCTGGAGTCCACTGTAACCCGCTCTTGCAGACAAGCCCATGCAGATGAACCAGGCCCTGTTCCTGGCCGGCGGGCACTGCGGCTATGTGCTGCAGCCCAGCGTCATGCGTGACGAGGCCTTCGACCCCTTTGACAAGAGCAGCCTCCGCGGGCTGGAGCCATGCGCCATTTGCATCGAGGTGGGAAGGGGGCGCTCTGCCGGGCTGGTTCCAGGCGCCAGGGCCGGGGGGCTGTCTGACGCGACATGGGAGGGGTGCTGGACGGTCCTGGAGCTCGAGGGAGATGAAGCCGTCTTCTGAGGTGGGCGTGGGGCTTCAGGCCTGCGCTGGGGGACTGGGCCCCGTGTGGCCAGTCCTTGGCACTCAGGAGTCAGGCGGTCCAGTGAGACCGAGCCATGGATAAGCGCCTGCCTGGCAGGGGTGGGCAGAGACGGGCCGGGAGCTGGTGCCCCTGCCACGGGAATTGGCTCCATGGCACTTGCTAGAATGGGGGCTTGAACAGCACTGAGTCCCCGTACCACCCTCTCGAGGCCCCAGGGGAGCAGCCGTGATGCAGGCAGCTTGGTGCTGTGGGCTGCAGGGGATGTGGGCCTGGTGGTTCTTGAAGGAGAAGCAAAGACAGAGGAGGGGTGACCATGTCTTTTTTCCAGAGATTTCGACTTTTTGTCCCGGGGGGAAGTAATTTAAATGTTTCCGTGTTAAAACAGACATGCATCTAACGTAGGTTAGTATGCAAAAGCTCACATGGTAGTTTTGGTTCAAGTGAAAAGAAGTGAGCTGCTGCTGCAGCAGCTGCTCTCAGGCCCCACAACGCGGGCCTTCTGGGCAGTGTCCTGGCGGCCCAGCAGAGGGCGCACTGCCTCCACCGCGCAGTGGGGGCCGGGTGTGGGTCGGAAGGACCAGCCCAGGCCCGTGCTCGCCTGCGCTACAGGTGCTGGGGGCCCGGCACCTGCCGAAGAATGGCCGCGGCATCGTGTGTCCTTTTGTGGAGATCGAGGTGGCCGGAGCCGAGTACGACAGCGTCAAGCAGAAGACAGAGTTTGTGGGTACGTCTCCCGTCCCCACGCCCCTCCTCACCGCCCTGGGCACGTCAGGCCCTCTGCACCTGTGACTCCATCCTCCCAGCAGTGGCCTGAGGCCTTTTGTGCTTGCTTTCACAGTGGACAACGGACTGAACCCCGTGTGGCCAGCCAAGCCCTTCCACTTCCAGATCAGTAACCCTGAGTTCGCCTTCCTGCGCTTCGTGGTCTATGAGGAGGACATGTTTAGTGACCAGAACTTCCTGGCTCAGGCTACCTTCCCGGTGAAGGGTCTGAAGACAGGTGAGGGCCCTTCCTCCACGCCGTGCCCCCTGCGGTCCAGCTCGGGGGCGGGGCAGCTCGCCGGCGTGCCCGGGCTAAGGGCCGAGCTTCCTCCCCCCCAGGATACAGAGCGGTGCCTTTGAAAAACAACTACAGTGAGGACCTGGAGCTGGCCTCCCTGCTAGTCAAGATTGACGTGTTCCCTGCCAAGGTACCCGTGGGCGGGCGGGCGGGCGGGCGGGCAGGGCAGCGCCGGGCTGGGCAGCCGCCGAGCGGTGTCGCTGCTGACGCAGGAGAACGGCGACCTCAGCCCCTTTGGGGGTGCGTCCCTGAGGGAGCGGAGCTGCGACGCCTTGGGCCCACTGTTCCACGGCCGGGCCCGGGAGGGCTCCTTCGAAGCTCGCTACCAGCAGCCCTTTGAGGACTTCCGCATCTCCCAGGAGCATCTCGCAGACCATTTTGACGGTCGGGATCGCAGGTGAGGGTGAGGTTGCCTGGAGGAGGGGTCCTGAGAGGCTGGGGGGGTGGGGGGTGGCCGGCCACCCTCGGTTCCCCTCGCCTGCGCCCCCGGGCCTCCACCCGCCGCCCGTCAGGACGTTTTTCCCTCCTGTCCAGGGCCCCGCGCAGGACTCGGGTCAATGGAGACAACCGCCTCTAGCCGTGCCCCAGCCTCGCGGAGAGCAGCAGGCGCCATGCCGCGCACGAGAGGGGGCCGTGGGCTGGGTTCCGGGGAAGCGGCCTATGGGGCCGCCCTTCCTGGCCTCGCCGCCTGGAGCCCAGATTCCAGCCGTGGACATTAGACGAAAAGCACGCCATTAATGAGATGTATTCCTATTTTGGGCCTCCACACCCCAGCTCTGGGTGAAGGCAAAAAACTGTACTGTTTGGCCTTTAAGCACACACACCTGGCCCTGCCTTCTGGAGGTGGAGCCTTCCATCTTGGGACCATCACGGCCGCTGCCTCTCGGAGAGAGAGGCTGCCTCAGCTGGCAGCACAAGAGGCTCCGAGGAGCCACTGACATTCCTGAGGAGCGGAGCAGCAGCAGCCTTGCTGGGCTCGGGAGTCAACGTTTACACAGTCCTGCAGCTTTAAGCCCCAGCCGGGCGGGGAAGGAGGGGAGGTGTCCTGGAGCCCGGGCAGAGGAGCACAGGTCCTGCCTGGAGAGGAGGGCACAGCACAAGGGCACACTGCCCACGACCCGGAGCACCACCCACCTGACCGCTGCAGGGCCTCGTGTGTTGGGCAGCCGGGCTGTGAGGGGCCCGTGGAGGAGGCCGAGGTGGCCCAGGGTGCCACCTGGAACAGGGAGCGCGACGGTGAGTTGCAGGGCCACCGCTGCAGCACCTCGGGGCCGTGGGAGGACAGCAGCCCCGGGGTACCCCCTGGGCCGCGGTGCCCCCTGCCTGCAGCCTGGGCGCAAGCCTGAAGGACCCGCTCACCAGGGGGCATGTGTCTGTGGGCGCTGGGCGGCAGGCGGCTCTTCCTGCCTCATCAGTGAGGACGTGCCTACGTTTGCACCATGGCCCCCCGAGAGCCAGAGCAAGATGCCAGCTAGGTCAGGACTGACGGGCACCCGTGGCCCCCGGAGTAGAAAGGCCAGTCCCCACGGCGGAGGTCCAGCTGGGCACTGGCCGCCGTGCGTTCAGGAAAAGCCCTCACACAAGGAACGTGTCCTCCCACAGCAGCTCCGCAGGCCAGCCAGGAGTCCCGAATCAGAGTGAAGACCAGTTTTCCTGTCGCAGCGAGACACCTTGGATCGGAGTCTGCCAAACGACCCTGCAAGAGGACGCTGTCTGGGTGATCTCGAGCGTTTGTGAAATCAGTCAGATCTGACAATAGACGGACGTGATGCTGGAGAATGGACTTGTAAAGTTTATTTTTGCACACTCTTTCTCACGACCTTCGTTCCTTCACGTAGGATGTATGATTTTCTATGTCTTCCACTTCTGACCTGAAAGCTGCTTGGTGGGGGGATGGGACTGGAGAAGCAAAACGAACGAACTTCTCTGCGCACTGTGGCAGACCTGTTATTTTTATGGATTTTACAGCTCAGTTAACAGTGTTAGCTTTTTAAGATTTCTATATACTCTTCAGAAGAACCACTGAGCCGTTCAAGCCTTGTTATTATCCGATCCTAATAGTGATTCCGTTTTCTATAGCTTTTAGGAAAGACAATAAATTATTTAACATTATATTAAACTTTCCATATCATGGACTGTAAACCGAAGGAAATCACACAATTTCTCAAAAACTGTATTGATTTATTTAAACTAATTCTGAAATGGTATTTTAAAGTACCACCTCCCAGTCAGCTGTCCATAGCAAACATGTCTATATATGGTTGCCAACATTTGGTTTATAATTTAAATGTTAATAAAAATTTTAAATTTTATTGAAAAAGCTTTTTTTCTGAAAAGGACTGTAAAAAGTGGAATTACTTCTCAATGGCACCATGATGACGTTCTGCTCTGCCTGCTGCTCGGCCTCGGTGGGCGAGGGGCGGGAGGAGAGGACGGAGCAAAGGCAGCTGGTGACGCAGGTTTCTTTAAAGGCAAAGATGGCGCGGGATGCTTTCCCTCAGGAAGGAAGGGATGAAGGAGCCGCGGGCCTTGCAGGGCACAGGCCACTGGTCATTGATGGACCCTGCTGCACCCATGGCAGGGTCTGCCCAGCTGGTGGAAAGATCTGTGGAAGGCTGGAGGGGCACAGCCCCACTTCTAAGGACAGGGGCCAGAGTCCCAGCCCGTGGGCACGAAGGTGCCTCGGCACAGCCAGCCCTGAGCTTGCACCAACCCTCTGCCCAAACCTAGGCTTGAGGCAGGTTGGCTAGCTCTGCTGCCCTCTTAAGGTCTAAGCGCCACATAACGTTATCCCCTTTATCTATCCTGTAACTTGTGAGTTCTTTCTGAGGCGCAGGAATGCATGCTCCTCTCCGGAGACATGTTCACTGGGGCTGCTTGCCTGGTGGTTATTCTGCAATAGAAGCAGGTGAGATTTACCTCCCAGGTCCAGCAGTTCTTCCCTCTGGGCTGCAAGGTGGTGTGTGGCCACCCTCTCCCCCCGCTCACATGCCGAGGGTGAGGTGCAGAGTGCCGCGCGCCTGCAAGCAGCCAGAGTCCCTTCCCCGTTCCACAGAAACTGCTCCTTTAAAAACAAGGCCCACAGAGCACTTAGGTGTAGGTTTCTGGATTATACTCTGGTTGCCTCTAGAGTTTGGGGCCGAAATCTCTGTGCCTGGAAAATGGCCCTGCCCTTCCCTTCCTGTGGTGGTTTTTGTAGTGGTCCGTGCTGGTGTGGATCAAATATGCTGCTGTACAGAGGAGAGCGCTGCCTGCCTGTTGGATGCATGGTGGAGATGGGCATAACACACCAGCCCAGGAAGCCTGAGGGCGATCATTGAAAAGACATGGGTAAGTGTAATCAGTTGGTTCTTAAAATGGTCATCGTGTGACATATGGTCCTGGTGTGACAATGTAGGTATGCAAGTATGGTCCCTGGCTTCGGAGAGACCCAAGGTTGTGAAGACAGCTGAAGGCAGGTTTTTTACAGAGTTATCAGTTCAGAGCATCCCTTTTCTGTATGACAAGTCAGACCAAGACACGCATTTCCCAAGTTCTCAGATTTGGGGCCAGTCCTAGTCCAGTGCAGGCCCCTCTAAGCACCACCCACTTGGAGAACTGGGATCCCAGTTTGAGATCCTTCCTGTCATCCCTGAACTAGATTTAGCCAAACGCCCTGCTCAGGTTCTCGCCGTCGCCTTGACTTTCTTGGCGCTTCGCGGTCTGACTCAGGACGTCTTTCCCCTCAGACGAGAAGGTGGTAGGCAGGGATTAACACAGTCTTTCCTGACCACCATGTGTTCCCAGATACCTCGGGCAGGAGAAAGCTTTGCTGACCAGTGACGGGAGAGGTAGTGTGTGGTGGTGGCCGTAGGGTTGGGGCCCGGTGTGGTCTCACGCGACTCCCCACCTTGATTTTAACCAGCAGGTCTGCTCCTTCACTGGCTCTGCCGTCGGGTGGCCCCGCTGACTGGAGGGCACATGCCTCTTCCGGACTCTCCTGTGACTGTCTTCGCCCTTCCCTGTAAATTTCTCGATCCTTCTTCCTAGTAGAAAACGTGGCAGCAGATTCAAGCAGATTCACAGATTCAGTTTAACCCAAATTCCTCCAGACCTGACAATCGTCGAACAACCCAGAAGGCCCAGCATGTGGGCGGGCTGCTGGGGAGACCCTCACTTCGGGTGAAGTGTCCTGGCCCGTGGTGGGGAGTGGCCTGCTTCCCCACGCGCTCACACACAGCACCGACGGCAAGGGCAGGGGCTTTCGGCGTCGGGAGCGCCCCCACCCTCACCCCCAGCTCTCCTGCCAGGAGGCGGCCCGAGTGGTTTCTGACCGCAGCCAGGACACCACCCTTGACAAGGATCTGTGGTCTTAGGTGCTGAGGGCAGGGCCTCCCTCCTGACCAGGCATATCCTGAACATGGGGGGCTGGACACTCACTGGCCTTTCAGCTTGAGCTCATCACCTCCCACCATTTCAGTTCTTGGGGGAAAAACAACTTTTAAGCGGCATGAGGTCACTGCACCAAAGGAGCTCGTGAGACAAAACAAGGTCACATCAGTTAAACTGATTGTCTGGTCTCAGCCCGAGGGCCCTCAGTGGGTCTTCCGGGGTCAGCCTGGGGTTCTGGTCCCTGCTGGAGGCCCCTGCAGCTGCCCCAGGACACCCACAGTGACCCCTGGCCGCCCATGCTGTCCACTCCGTCCACACGAGCGGCCGGGCCTGCAGCCACCATGGGTCGGCTGACTGGCTTCAGGGTTCTACACTCAGCTGGTCTTCCTCCCGAAGACTTGCTTTTTAGATTCCACACAAAGTTCCTTCCCTAAGACATAGGTCACCTCCGGAAGAACCAGGTCAGGACCAGGGCCTGGGGTCCACCTGGTGTCCCTCCTTCCTATCTCTCTGCCCCTGGGGCTTTTTCAAGGGTCCCTTTTTCCTTTTGGCACAGACCCTTAGGATCCCCCCATGAGATTCAATCACTATGAACATTAGAAGTTGGGTTTTAATCCTATTCCTTCAAGGCCCCGGGGCCTTAAGCATATTTGCCAACCTCTCCTTAGCAAATGACAAGCTTCTCAGTATTTTCCTCCCAGGAAAAGTGTCCTCACTGGATGCCTGACAGCTCTAGGTTTGACTTAGTTTCCCCCTGTTTAGCATCAGTCCGTGACTGCTGCAGTCCTTTATCTAGTGACCCAGCCAGCTGGACACAGCAAGCTGGAACTTACCCGGAGTGCCAGAGGGAAACTGCCCTGCTCATCCTTCCGAGTTGCCGGTCTTGCCCGCAGAAGTCCAAAGATGTCAGTGTTCTCGGCTTTTATCCTGATTCCCCCACAAAACAGTCCGCAGGTGAGAAATGTATTTACATTTTTATTTAGGAGCAATTAAAAGATTTAAAGTACCATTTCGGCCCATTTCAAATTGTACAAGCAGTTTGGCCCTGTTCCCCTCCCTTATCCAAATCCACAGATACAAAATCTGGGAAATGTGCAATTTGCATCTTAGAAATAGCAGCATCCCCACAGGGGACCTCGTGAGGCCGGGAGATTCAGCCCAGAGGGCAGCCCCCTCCTCCTGGCCCGGCACAGCCACCGTCCAAAGGCAAGTTCAACTTTCTGTTAGAAGCGCCTTCCCGGGGTGAGGACTCTGCTTCCACCACGCCTGGTGACAGCCCGCATGTGCCTGTACCTCCCTTGCCGGAGGAGGCGGCCCCCGGACAGACAGAACGGGGAGTGGCCTCTTAGCACCAAGATGATGGCTTCTTCGGTGGCTCCAGGGCAGGAAGCACTCCTCCAGCCAGCTGCCCCTGCCCTCCCGCCGCCGCCCTTGGGGAACAAAAGGTCTGTGCTGAAGACCAGCCTGTGAGTGGGTGGCAGAAAACCAGCCACCAGGCAGGCAGACGGAACCTGCCCGCCTCTGGCAACCTCCGGCCTGGCGCAGAGACTGCTCAGGACACTTTGAGTCAACTGCGCAGACGGGGGTGGGGGGCCGCTCTCCAACAGCAATGAGGGCACAGCCCGGCCCCCCAGACACTGCACGAAGCGATACTGGGGAGCGGGGCCGGAACCCGCTGCTCAGGGGCGACCCCCCTCCCCTCAGCATCACCCCGCGGCCTGCGACCAGGCCGCATCCACCCAGGGGGCCGCTGGCTCTCCAGGCCACAGGGGCAGCGACCGGCCGGGAGGCCTGGCGGGGCAGGACCCAGGGTGAGTGACAGTGTCCCCGAGCACGAATCGCAGGATGAGCAGGCGCCCTCAGAGTTCTGACCGGGAAGGAACGGACCGTGGGCCTGCAGCTTCCTGTCCTCCATGACTCCTGGACGGTCCACCTCCCGCTCCAGCCACATGGGGGCCTTCAGACCATCCCCTCACCAAGGGAACGAACAGACGTTGTAAATTAGCCACAGCTGAGACATGCTCCTCACCACCCGCCCCCAGAGGGCAGAGCGGACTCCTGGAGGAAGATGCGCTCTCCAGGTAAATGCCCAGACTGCCCGCAGGTCCCCGCCTGCTCCAAAAGGACAGTAGGAGACACAGCCAGAGGGGCTCGGGCTGTGAAAGCGGGGGCCGAGGACAGCAGGGCAGGAACTGCCCCGACTCCTCGCGTCCTGCAAACCCAGTGGGACTTCAGCACCTGGAGGAGTGGGAGCCGGCCCCACCCTCATCCGCAGAGCCTCCGCCCCATGCGGGCTCCCACTGTCAGGCTCCAGGTGCAGGCCAGGGCCTCCATGCAGAGGCGGCCAGGTTTGCACACCGGTCACAGGTTCTTCCATTGAAGAACCAAAGAGCAGGCGGCCCTTGCTCTTCAGGCAAGCGCTCCGTCTGCTGCTCCTCCCACCCAGAGGCCAGGTCAGCCCTGAGAGGGAGCTGCGTCCGCCCTCACCCCCAGCCCCCAAGTGCGACCAGAGCTGGGAACACAGATTCCAGCAGAAACGAACCACACCCGAGGCCCGCGGGTTCACCTAGACCTAGGGACGGGCAGCAGGCTCCGCGCTCCAGATCACCACTTCATCCTCCACTCTGCATCCGTTCAGTCTGTTGCAAGGTTGCCTGCAGCCACCCCAGCCCGTGTCACCTGGCCCGGCTGTTATGAATGGAGCCGGGACACAGCACGGTGGGACCCCAGACTGAAGCCCTGCTCGGGGAGGGGACTGTTGAGAGAGGGGGCCCCACTCGCCCCCACGTTTTCTGGTGTTGGCGCTTCTGTGCACGCAGATGCCCTCCAGCCCCCAGGCTTGGGTGGGCAGGCGGGGAGGGTCTGTGCTCCCGGGAAAGGAGAGAAGGCAGCGGGTGCGGGAAGACTGGAGGGGGGACCAGTGGCTGAGAAGAGGACACAGCCCGTGACTCTCCTGACCAGGGCAGCTGCTGACTTTGGCCTGCAAGGGCTGCCCGTGCCGAGCTCTTCGCATCTAGAGGCCTTTTCTCATAAGGTAAGTCAGACCAGCACCCCACCCCCTGGAGAGTGTAAGCATAGAAAAGGGGGGAAGGAGCTTTAGGAGGAGCCAAAACTCCAGGTTTTATGATTTTTTCCTTGGCTGGTTCTCCTCTCGCAAAGTGCCTTTATCCACTTGGGCTGCAATCTTTGAATGGACAAAGCCACTCCAGCCGGAGGATTTTGGTCCGAGAAGAGGACAGGAAGGTAAGAGGCAGCAGGAGCAGGGAGTTGTCAGCAGAGATGTGCACAGAATGGCCGATGCTGTGCCTCTGCGGAAGGCAGCCTGGCACACGGAGGGGACACAGGCCCTGCCACGGAACCGCAGACTGAGCCGGACAGAGTCCACGGCCTCCGTGTCTCGGCCCGGAGAACACGCGGGACTTCAGGTGGGAAGGCCTCCCAGGCCCGTGAGTACCTACTGGTGCCACCTACCCTCGCCCACCTCCCACCCGTGCTCCTGACAGCAGGGGTGGGCACTCAGCCTTGAAAGGAGCTTGAGTCAGACAGGGCCACCCTCCCCAGGTGCCGCGAGTCCCCCAGCCTAGCTTTCCACTTCAGGACCCCAGGGCTCCTGGCAGAGAGAGCCCACTTCCCAAATCAAAAAGCTCCTCAATAGTCAAGAATCAAAGTACGTAATCAAAGTATGAAAGTATATGTAGCATAAATCCAGGTTTCCTGTATCAGAATGGTGATCTGGTCTCACCTATTCAAACTGGATCTACAACCCCGTGTAAAAAATACAATAAACCAAACATGTACAAGACAGGCAACAACAAACACTGACATGGTTCACCATCTCTGATGAGTCCAAGTACGTACAGAGAAGAGGGGAGAGATTAGTCACCTTACAGAAACAGGCTTTTTCTTCAGGAGAAACTAGCCCTACCCTACTTCCCTCAACTTTGCAGCCCACAGACTGCCTCCTACCAGAGGCAACATCACAGTCTAACCCTCAGCTGGGATGCAAACCCGCGGTGACCCGCCTGGCCACGGGGCCCTCCCACTGCATCCCGCTGCACCCCGGCTCTGGCTGCCATGGGTGAGTCTCTGCCCCGTTGGCTGTGTTCCTGCTTTTGCCCCCAGGGCCCTGCGTATCTTTAGACACCCGTTCAATGATCCAACCACATCTGTCTCCTTCAAGCATGCAGCTTGAGCCCCCCCCTAAGTCACTCAGATCCAAGAGCACAGGGAGGAGGGTCTGGCCAGCCTGGGTGGTCTCGCCATTTGCAGGGGGCAGGACCAGTGTCTGTGAGACCTGCCCGCAGGCAGCACTGTGACTTGCCCACCTCTTAAGGACCAGCTGGTGATGAGGCGGGGTCACTGTGTCCTGCATGAATTTGTCCACCATGTAATTTATTTCCTCTGCTTTGGGTTGTAAATGACATGTGAATACAAAAAAAAAAAAAAAAAAGAAAGAAAACCCTCTCTGAAGAGACAGCCCTCAGCTGGGGCACACAGGGCCCTGGGAGTGACGCCATCGGAGACGGCTTCGCCCAGCGGCCGGGCCCCGCCCCCAGCACCCACCTGCCACCACGTTCTCAAGTGTACACGTCAGGGGTACACGTCACCAGTAAAGCATCAACTGAGTATCTACTGCATATGGATATATAAAAATTAATCTGCATGTACATAAACACTACAGGAAAAGTTGCAGGCGTCTGTTCTCTGAAAGGAGGCAACCACTCGCCATTTTTGGCAGCTCTCCAGAGAGGCTGTGGGGCTAAGGAGCTTCACACCCAACATGGAAAGGAGGCAAGCAGGCTGCAGAGCGTGCCAAGCGCTCGCAAGGCACCTGTTCGAGATAAGGGGGTGGTCCCTCGCGGGACGGGGTGAGCGGGAAAAGACACCTGGGAGGAACGGTGGCCCCGGGGCTTTTGGTTTCCTCAGAAAAGCCTCTCCGGAGGCAGGAGGGGCAGCCACCATCTCCACGCTGGGAGCCAGGCCTGCGCGGGGCCCGCCTGGTCTGGTTCTGCGGGGCGGGGCGGGAGGAGGGCCGTGGCTACCCCACCCCTAATGCTTCTCACCACAGCCCCTGCCCTCCCTCTGGGTCACCTGATGCTGCCCACCGCCTAGGCCCAGGAGGAGCGCCCAGGCCTGGCTGCTCTGGGCAGCAGGGGGTTCCTGGGAGCTTCACTCGTTACCTGCTGCTCGCAGGGCCGGTCTTGGGGAGACAGGGCTTCACTGCTGAGCACAGCTTTGTAAGCAAGTTTCCCGGTGTTACCAAGGCACCCCTTCCTGTGATTTTTCTCAATTAAAAAAGCAGATATGATGCTTCAGCTAACATAGAGATCGTGTTTCCAAGTTTGGGGATATAAATACAGAACTTTAAAAACCTTCTCACAAGGACCTGTCCAGCAATGTCCACCACGTCAGCCAGGCCCCAGGCACGGGGCCAGGAGGGCCTGGACTTTGTTGGGAACTCCACACGCAGGTCTTTGCTGAGGACAACCCTGGCTCTGATGGTTCCGAGAGGCCCCTGAGCCCCGTCAGTTCTTGCTCTGACAGGTTGAGCCTGGGTCTTCCTTCCCAAACCGGAGGCAGCTGTGAAGTGAGTGTTGACAGAGGGCTGTGGAAGCCCCCAGCAATTGTGGCCTTCATTCCCATCTCCCATCCCTGTTTCTCTTGTCAATTTTCCTCTCTAAACATGTCTAGACTGAAAAAAAGAAAAGCGGCACGTAGGTCAGGACATTAGGCTTGACAGGTGTTTCTTAGTCGATCTGATCACTGAAGAGTTATGGTCCATGATTCAAACTATGAAAAAGGAGAACTGCTGTAACAGCTTATGAGAGAGTGAGCATCAGACACTAACCACATACCTACTCTGTTTTTTAAACCGCCGGGAACACGGGTTCCGCAGTGATCGTCCCAGGAGGTGAGGCGGGCCCGCTGTGTGGTTTGCCAGTCACTGCTGAAGGGGCCAAGATCTCTTCAAAGGCGCTGCCTTCCTCGAGGACTGCAAAGGAGGCCCGCAGTTGCAGGTGTGGTGACCCCAGCCCGACCGTGGAAGGTGTAGGCATGCGTGGCCCAGCAGTCTTCAGAGAACAGACACAGGGCATTTCCAGAGATGATGTAAAAGACCATGGACTGCTAACCAGAGTTTCTATGTAATAAAAGTGTCTGCAATCTGACGTTTTATTAAACGTGTATAGGCAGATTTATATGTTAAAAACTTGATTCTGTGTCTATGAATATGAAACCTGAACTATTTATTCACTGGAAGGCAAAGGAGAGGTCCTACATTGTGGGCAGAACTGGCAGACGCGTCTCCCCGCTCGCAGGCGGTGGCGGGCTTGGCCACATGGAGGCCTGTGCAGGCTGGGGGCCGGTGCGGCCTCGGCCTGTGGCAGCAGAGAGGGACTGGGCCCTTCCAAGCGGTGGCGGCCTCCCAAGGCTGGCCGGTCCTTCACAGCCATCAGTTCCTGTTCAGTCTGTTTCTGAGGAGAAAACACAGGCCCGTCACCTCCACGCACATCATCAGGACGGCCCGCCCTCCCATGCCGGGGACTTCATCCAGGAGCTCCCCTTCCCACCAGCCTCCCTGCCCTCCAGCCCAAGGGAAGGTGGGGAACACTGTGGGGGCAGAGGACGGGACGCTGGCCACACCTAGCAGGGCCTAGAGCCTCCCCTCGGCAAACCTAGGCCCGAGGCCGGGCTGGGAGCCTGACCTCTGGGCCGTAAACCCGTGCCACGCGCCGCCTCCCCATCCGGCACCTCAGAACACACGGGGCTCACTCGGCAGGTCTGCTGCCTAACGTGTCCCACAGATGCCTTCATCTGTTGTGGGGCAGGGGGCGGCTGTGCAGAGAGACCCTCACCCAGGATGCTTGGTCTGTGGGGGGCGGTGTTGAGGCTGGCTCAGAAAGCGGTGAGAAACCAGATAGGGACCAGCCCTCCCTGTCCCCCTGGGTACCTGTCTCAGCCAGAAGAGGATGATGCTACAAAGGCACGGCCAGCCTGGCCACTCCTGCTCTGTCCCACCCAGGACACCAGCTCTTCACTCACAGCTGGAGTTACCAGGTGAGGGGAGCCAGAGCTGGTGATTCAAACCCATTTATCCCAAATCCAGGTGAGCATTTTTAATTGTGGTTAAATACACATCCCATTTTTAAATGTACAGTTAGGTGGCATGGAGCGCATTTAACAATTGTGCAACAACTACCACACTATTTCCAGCCATAAAAATATAATTCAGGAGAATTGCAATTAAAAAAAAAAACCTAAATAAATTAGTGGGTTGTTCCAGCAGTCTGCCATTTTGTTGGCAGAGCCAAAGCCAAGGGTGGGAAGGCCTGGTGCTGGAGAAGGTGCCTGAGGCACCCAGGCGTGTGGGCCCACACCTGTTCCCTGGTGCCCATGACACCCCCCGGGGGGACCCCACTGACTCATAGGGGCCTGGAGGAAACAAGGTCAGGTCCAGAAAATCCCAGGCCTGGAACCAACTTCTGAAAGTCTGCAAATTACAGAAGCTGAGAATTCAGATACTTCCTTGGTTTCCACAGCCTCCCATAAAGGGATGTGAGAGTTGGACCATAAAGAAGGCTGAGCACTGAAGAACTGATGCTTTCCAATTGTGCTGGGGAAGACTCTTGAGAGTCCCTTGGACAGCAAGGAGATCAAACTAGTCAATCCCAAAGGAAGTCAACCCTGAATATTCACTGGAAGGGCTGAAGCTCCAATACTTTGGCCACCTCATGCAAAGAGCTAACTCATTGGAAAAGACCCTGATGCTGGGAAAGACTGAAGGCAGTAGGAGAAGGGGACGACAGAGGATGAGATGGTTGGATGGCATCACTGACTCAATGGACACAAGTTTGAGCAAACTCCGGGAGATGGTGAACGACAGGGGAGCCTGGGGTGCTACAGTCCATGGGGTCCCAAAGAGTTGGACACAACTGAGCGACTGAACAACACCTTGCTCCTGGCCAGCCTGTGACAAGGCCACCCATGAGGAGGGTGGGGAGGGAAGGGAGAGGCCAGGAACTCTGGGGTCAACACCTGAGAAAACCAGCACCAGATAACGTGACGTGTCTGAGGCGCCTGTCTTCAGTAAATAACCTTCTAAAGCTTTCTTTCAAGTACTAGTGTCCTAATCCAGAGAAACTGAGAAATTCAAGCTTTGGATTCTGTATATCTAAGACGGAAGTGCAGACTCCATGTCTTCTACTTCAGAAAGAAGTACAGAAATGCAAGGTACAGGATTTTTCACCCTTTTTTTAAAAAAAAAAAGCACGCCGTGTATCTAAGGTCAGTGAAAGGCTCCCTCTGCTTTTGTGCCCCAGTTTGGGTTGAGTTTCCTCATCAGGAATCAGCAGGCCTATTCTGTCTCCTGCCTGGTGGCTTGACTGGCTCAGGTGATGTTCTGACTTATTCTCCTTTGGCTAAGAAATGATCAGAGAAGTGTGGATTCGCTGCTGGATTCACTGTGCTCCTTCCTTTCCCTGCGCACGTTTAACAAACACAAAATGAAACAGACCCAACGGTCAACCTTCATCACAGAGGTTCGAATGGCTTCTGCTGCCTGGTGCTCCCGGAAGCAGCCGGACAAGGTGGTCCTACTGCCAGCTGGCATGAGAAATAGCAGCTGCCCCAGCCCTAGACTCAGTCGCCCCTGCCCAGTGCCCCGGCACCCTCAGAGGACGGCCCAGTCCTGGGGGGCTCCTTACCCAGCTGAGGTCCGGCCTGGGGAGTCTGCGTGTCAAAGGGCTCTGCGCTGGCCTCTGGGGCGCTGGGCTCCCATGACTCGCTGTTTTCCGACACCTCCACACAGACGTCACCCAGCCCTTTGTGAAGGGCTGCAGGGCCGCCGGCGCAGGGGCCCTGGCCCTCGCTGCCCGCGTCGGCCACAGCCCGGGTCTCCTCGCCCATCTTCTCGGCAAACCACTGCTTGACCTGCTGGGCGCTCATCTGGGTCTTGTCACAGAGGCTCTGCAGGTCCTGCTCGTAGAGCATCTTGTGAGCCGCGTAGTAGCCCTGCAGCAGCTCCCGGGTGCCGGGCGCGATGACTAGCAGCCCGGGAGGGAAGTTGCCCCTCTTGTAGTCTTCGTACCACTTGAGCTGGCCGTTCTTCAGGGCGTACCGGCTGTCCCCAAACCAGCGCACCACCTCGGGCCGCGGCAGGCCCGTCTGCGCCATGATGGAGTCGTAGTCCTGCGTGCTGGGCCACTGCGTCTGCACGAAGAGCCGCCGCAACAGGTGCCGCTGCTGGGCCGTCTTCTTGTAGCCTGCCTTGCCTGGCGGCTGCTCCGCCGGCTTGCCGGGCGCCTCGTCCTCAGGCTCGCAGGCGCCCAGCCCCACGAGCTCGCCCCTGCCGTTGGCCTCCGTCACTCGCAGGTTCTTGAGGTTGATTTTGATGGGGCTGACTTTGCGTTCGGCCAGCACGTGGCTGCCGGGCGCTTCTGGGGAGCCGTTTTCCCCGGCCAAGCCCTCCTCCCCCTCGTCCTCAGCGGCCTCCTCCTCCCCTGGAGAAGCCCCCTCCTCGGCCTTCTTGGCCTCCTCGGCACTCACTTTTTTCCGTCTCTCTGAAAACCAGCCGTCAATCTCCCTGCGGGTCATTTTGGTCTCGGTCCTCAGGCGGTCCAGCTCCTCATCCAGGGGAAGGGGGTTTTGTGCAAAACTGCTCTCCAGGGCTCTCAGCTGCTCGGGGGCCCGCTCCTTGTATTTGGTTGGTGTGAAGTCGGGGGTCTGGTGCCAGGACTGTCGCTTGGCAGAAGAGGGGGTGGCCAGGGTGGCTGCCGTGGGGAGGCAGGTCACCTCGGGGGCCTTGCACGACGGGGAGAAGGGCGCCTCGGGCACAGGGTCGACAAGCAGGGTGCCGTGCTCTCCAGGCAGCCCGGCCCTGGAGCCCTTGAGGTTCCGGCAATGGTACCTGCGGTCGCTGAACCACTTGCGCACCTCCCGGGTGCTGAGACCCGTCACTTTGGTCAGATGCTCCACTTCGCTCTGCCCTGGGAACTGGTTCCGACAGAAGCTCCCTTTCAGAGCTGACAGCTGTTCGTGAGACTTCTTGTTTTTGTAGATGCTGGCATCGAGGAAGGCTTGGGAGGTGATGCTGGGGCAGGCCGTGAGGAGGGACTGGGCGGCGTTCACCACCTTCACGGCCGATGTTGTATTTGAACACACGGTGTTAATGGGCGCGACAGTGGGCGGCTTGGGGACAGAGGTAACTGCCAGGGGGAGAGAGGAGCTGGGGGCCTGCAGCCCGTTGGCCATCAGAGGCTGAGTGACCAGAAGTCCCCCCGCTGCACCCTCTGGCTGCCCCACCACGTGCCCGGGCAGAGCGGCCTGGATGAGGTGCTGGACGTTGCCGCTGCTGGCAACCAGGGGAGTGTTGAGGACTGTGATGGTGGGCTGGGGCACTGACTGGATGACGGTGTTGAACATCTTTTTCCGGGCGTCCTCAATCTCCTCCGGAGACCAGCTGATGCCCTGCTTCAGCCTCTGGGCAGTGAACCAGATCTTGAGCTGTTCCTCCGGGTACTTGGTGACCACAGTCAAATAGCAGAGCTCGGCTTTGGTCGGGTAGGGGAACTTGTGGAAGGAGTTCTTCAGAAAGCTGTTGGAGTCCATGGCCGCATTGTAGGTAGGAATGCTGCTCAGCGGGATCATCACTTTGGGGAGGGACCTGGCGGTGGGCAGGGGCTGCTGGGCCTGCGGGGGCGGCTGCTGCAGGGAGAGGAGCTGGGCGATGCCCGCAGGCAGCACCGGCACCGTGCCCAGCAGGGGCCCGTTGGCCGAGTGGGGGGCCTTTGCGGGGTTGGTTGACGCCTGGCTGGCGGGGACCACCCCGTTGACAAAGGCATGGTCCCCCTCTTTCACCTCTGTGTCCCCAGCTGGAGGGTTTGGTAAGGCCTCCCCGGTGGGCTGGTTGGGCACGTTCTCCTTGAGCGTGTGGATCTTTTTGGCCTCGGCTTTGCCTTTCATTATCTTCATGATTGGAGTCTTGGTGATGATGATTTCTGCCTGTCCATCCGTCCCCTCCACATTTGGCTCCCCTGACGGGTCGGGAGGGCTGGCACCCTCAGGGACACTCTGCTCCACGACCAAGTGATTGTCTGGCTTGGCCACGTTCCACACAAAGCTGGCTTCTCCCGAGTGACACTTGGCGTTGTGCAGAGAAAGCCCCTCGGGAGTTTTTGCCAGAAAGCTGCATTCAGTGCATACAAAGCTTGGGTCTTTGTTAAAGTCTGTGTGCTCTGAGCTCAGATGTCCCACAAACTGGGTTATGTCCTGGGATCTGAAGTCACAGTATTTACAGGCAAACGCGTAGCCATCCAAGGTGCTCCGGTGCCCGTTGGCCAGCGAGGGGATGTCAGGACCACTGGCGCTCTGGGTGGCCTCGGTGCTGGTGGCGGGCACTTCTGGGGGCGGCTCCTGGGGGGGCCCCTCGGGCCCGGGCTCGGCAGGCGGGGCCTCGGCGCTGGAGCTGGGCAGCACCACAGTCTTCACAGGGATCATGCACGGGGTGGTGGACTTCCTCTTGCTGGCCATGACGACCGTCGTGCTGAGTGATCGGTGGGTGACAGCTCCTCCTGCCAGGGGTCTCACAGCATGGCTTCCAGCTGCTCCATGAGGCCCAAAGGAACAGCTTCCGAGGGCTTCTTCAGTGGTTGGCAGAAAGCAGGTTTTCCCTGTTAAACCTGGGGAGGAAAAAAAGAGAGGTGAGGCTCTCCCGAGCTGTGTGTGTATCCCCGATTCCCAGACACACTCTGCTGCTTGCCTCCAGTCACCCGGGCCTTCTCCCAAGGAAGGCAACAGCACCTTGGATGGAACGTTCCAGTTGGGAGCCCCTCAAGCACAAAACAGCGCCTGGAAGAGTGATGTGGTTCACCCCGACACCAGGGGCAGGCTTCAGCCATGCGCTTCTGTTCTGTGTTTCCCTCTGTTTGCACGCATAAAATAACTCGGACTCGAAAACGACAACAACAAAAATAATCCTCTTCTGGACCTCCAAGTGAATTCTGGCCATGTCAGAGCGAGAACAAAAGATCCTAGTGTAATTCTTGTTTAAATGTTTGGGCCAACAAGGGTTTTCTTTTCATAGCCTTCCCACACACGAGCACAGGACGCCGCCTCTGCCTCTCCAGCGCCAAGCCCAGAGGCCACGTCGTGGCAGCGTGTATCCCGGGGAGAGGGCGCTGCTGCCCGGGGCCGAGTTCTGGGGACCGGCCTGCCCTGCCCTGTCACCCTGGCTCCAGGCTGTGGGAGAGGGACCACCTCAGAGTCACTGGCTGTACCCCGGACTCCTGGTGCTCAGGTAAAGCCCAAGCTCGGAGGGTCAGAGGATCCAAAGACGCGGTTTGTGACCCCATCACTGTACCTCTCTCCCTGGGGCGGCGGCCCCATGAGTGGCTTCACCTTGGGTGTGCGTGCGACCCGTGACCTTGTATTGGGCTTGCTTTTTATTTCTTCTGGTGCCTTTATTGTTTCTTAAAAAAAAAAAAAAACCCAACCCTGAAAGCTTTGATCCATTTGAAATTTATTTCAAAAGCTGAGATGATTTATTTATATGTGAAATACTACTAATTCTTTCATGAGATGCCAGGAGAAAATTTTCTGTGATGTCTATTATTGATATTAATGTACCACCACAATCATCATTACCTTTCTTTTAGCAAATTACAATGCTGATAATGGCTAAAATAATGGTTATTCTAATACCAGAATCCTATTATCATCAGTGTTTAGATTTGATATAAAAATGTAAAAACAAAGTAAAATATCTCCATGTAAATTCTTAATAAATAAACATAGCAAACTATTTTTTTTTCTTTTAAGACCTGGTGATCATGATGATAAAAAAATATTTGCTAGTAAAAAAACAGTTGGTGTGAGATAAGGATAAACATACACCCAGTTCACCCACTTGTCACTATTTCCTCCACTGAAATGTTATGCATTTTTTAAACTTAATTTTTAATAGTAAAAATAAAATACCAATATTAAGTAAAATTTAAGAAAACCGCCTATAGTTTTCCATCTACTGCAAATATTTTGTACACATTTTTAATCATTAATGGGCACACACATGTGGTTTTTTAAATTAAACATTTCATCATAAACAGTGTCATTAAATAAGCTTCATAATTATAATATTCAATAGCACCTAATAATGCACCCCTACAGAGTTCAGCCTCCTCTGCTACGCATAGGCCTCAGTGACCCCCTCTCATGGTTTGACAACGAAATGACCTCTGGACATGTAGGATGTATTTCTTCTATCAAATTATTTCCTGAGGCTGAGCACACAGAAATGGGTAATTTACCAGATCAGTGGGTAATTTACCAGTATCAGCATTTCTAAGCTCCTCTATATAGTACCAGCAAACATTTTAAATCAGGTGCTTTATCACCTGATTAAATTCCAAATCAGGAAAACTAAGTATAATACAGTTATGTTTTCAGCAGGCAAATCAGATTTTCAGATAAGTCACTGAAGACATCAAAAAGAATATATGAATGTGCAAGTGACATAAGAAAAAACTGACTTCATCAAAATTAAAAAAAACAACCTTCTTCTTAAAGGTTGTCATCAACAAAGTGAAAAAGACAAGCCACGGAATGAGAGAAAATATTTGCAAATCATATCAGATAAAAGGGCTTATAACTGAATAATAAAAAGACAAAAATCCAATTAAGAAATAGGTAAAGAATCTGAATAGACATTTCTCCAAATCAGGCCTACAAATGACCAATAAGCATATTTAAAAAGTGCTTGGGCTTCTCTGGTGGCTCAGTGGTAAAGAATCCGCCTGCCGATGCAGGAGACACAGTTTTGATCCCTGCTCTGGGAAGATCCCACACGCCGAGGGGCAACTAAGCTTGTGTAGCACAACTACTGACCCCATGCTCCACAGCCTGGAAGCTGAAACTGCTGAGCCCACGTGTGGCAACTACTGGAGCCCACACCCTAGAGCCCATGCTCCACAACAAGAGAAGCCACCTCAATGAGAAGCCCATGCACTGCACGGGAGAGCAGTCCCCCGCTCGCTGCAACAAGAGAAAGCCCCTGCAGCAACGAAAACCCAGCACAGCCAAAAATAAGTAAATTTTTTTAAAAAGTGCTCAACATCATTAGTCATTAGGGAAATACAAATCAAAACCACAATGAGATGCCAATTTACTCCCACCAGGATGGCTATAATCACAATGACAGATGATAACACTACAGGTGAGGATGTGGGGAGACTAGAACCCTCCAGCATCACTGGCTGGAAGGTGAAACGGTACAGCCTTTGCTGCACTTGAAAAAACAGCTGGGCAGTTTCTCAGAAAGTTAAATATAGAATCACCATAGGGCCCAATAATTCCACTCCTTGGTGAATACCAGATAGAAATGAAAACATGTCCACACAAATATTCATAATAATAGCCCTGAAATAGAAGCAACCTCAATGGCCATCAACAGGTGAATGAATAAAGACAATGGCCTTTGTCCATGTGATGCGCCATTGTTCAGTCATAAGAAAGCATGAAGTACTGACGTGGGCTACAGCATGGATAGCAACATCAGGAAGGCAGACACACGATGCCATGTATCACATGACTGCATCTGTGTAAAACACTCAGAATAGGTACCTCCATAGTGACAGAAGGTATCAGTGTTTGCCAAGGGCAGAGGGGAGAAGGGAAAATGGGGACTGACTGACGGCTAACGGAGATGAGGTTTCTATTTGGGGTGATGCATAAGACTGTGAATATGATAAAAACCACTGAAAGGACTTCAAAAACCCAAGAAAGTGGAGGATAGCAAGTTACAGCCCTCAGTTCTGTAGAAAAAGGCCATCACTGTCACATCTCAGGATCCAGTACAGGTGGCCTCACTGATTTATGGTACTTCCTGACCTGCCTTCCTCTTCTTCACGACTGCCCTAGGGAAGGTGAAAGCGGTGGCTGTGGATACCAGGGTCAAGGTGAGAAAGGGACGAGAACCACAGGGATGAGAACCGCAGACCTGGCGGCTCAGGAAGCAAGCATGGTCACCATGAGGCCCGCCTGCCCAGCCCAGCCCCCAACACTCAGGTCGAACTGACCTTTGTGATGGCGACTGGGCTCCAGCAAAGCAGTTACGGTTTGTCCCTTGTGTTTTATTTACTAAGGCTGAGCAGGGGACAACACAAAATGGAACTGATTTTAGGAGATGGTCCTAATGTCATTCACAATTCAGTCTCAAGGTAGCCCCCAACTCTTTCAAATCAACGGTCCGGGAGAGCACACGGCCAACTGTTCCGAGTGGCTCGGTCACCTGTTACGAAGGAAGCTGATTAGACATCAGGAGTGGGGGTGGGCGGAGGGGGACAGCAACTGCCAAAGGTCCCGGAGGGTTTACTATGGGTAGGGAGTGCCGTAACCCGCACCTCTCATTTCACTCCCACAGCAAACCCCAGAGGAGGAACTGTTATCACCCCCAGGCTCAGAGCAGTGCAGTAACTGCCTGCAGGGCACATAGCTGGCAGGCAGCGGAGGCTGGCAAGCAGGCTCCAGAGGCTGCCCTCACCGGCGCACACACCGAGCTCTCCGAGCAAGAACAACACTGCTGGAAGGAGGCCTGTAGGACTTTCCTGAGCTGTACTTCCCCCCAGTGTTTATCAGGAAAAATGCCAAACATACAAAAAGTTGACAGAATTTTCCAGTGAATCCCCACGTACTTATAACCTGTATGACATCATCTGGCTATTTTCAGTAATACCACCCATTTAGCTAAGTGGGGATAAGTCTATTTGTCATACATTTTTTTCAAGGGTATCCAACAAAAGTGGCATTCAAAAAGTAAGGCTCTATCGAGAAATCCCATCCAGAAGCGGCTCATGGACCCTGCCGGACAAGCAAGGCAGTAATTACCCTGAGGAAACAAGATGGTTAGCCAGGTCAAGCCCTGAGTAAGGTGAGCTGATAAAAATGTGAGGTTTTGTGCTGCCGAAGAGATTCGCAGACAAGGACCAGATGACAATCCCAGGTTCATCATCATACTTTGTACAATCCTTTCTCCACCTTGTCTTGAAAGTTTGTCTTGTAAATGCATAGTTTTTCTTTAATGAGGAAATAAGATTGAAAGTAGATAACTTTCTCCCCAAAATCTGTCTTTGGAAACTAGGAATTGCTCAGTTCCCTAAACTAACAAAGCTGCAGCTAAGTCACTGTACTTCAACACTGCAAACAATCACATTTGTGGGGCTGGAGAAAAAAAATGTTTGTAGATCAAATTCTTCAAGTGTTTAGCTTTATAGATAAGTCAGGAACTTTCCATTGTTGTTTTAATTCTGAGGAAGGAACTGGAAGGACAATAGGAGTTCAACAAAAGATTTCGAACGTTGAAAAGGCAACTGTCAGCAGACGCTTTCCAAGTGTTACGGGGGCTGGGCTTCGGCCCTCCTTGACATGCGACACACAATTTATCGATAGAAACAGGGGTAATGGGAGAAGCTGACAGAGCTGCAGAAACATGATCAGTGATTTTAATATACTCTTCATGGTTCTGAAAGCTCAAGTAG